GAAGAGAAAACCCTATTTCTCTGCTTCCTTCACTGAATGATGAAATTATCAAATGGTTGCTGCAATGCATTTTGACTCTGGTATTCAAAACCAGAAGAAAGGAAGAAACAAAAGCAACTTTATTTACTTCCCGGATACCATTGGCAAATAGAATTACAGCCCAACTGCTCTTATCTCACTGCTGCAGCGATTCTTCTTAGTACAGAGTGAGATAAAGACCCACAGTTTAGAGTATAAGAGATAAGAGAATGGACTATGTTATCTCAGATGTAAACATTAAAGGGCTTATCCCACTGCTAGGTAACTCAGGCTGTAACTATGGCAGCTGCTCTCCCCCAAGATAGACAGCTCTAATTGAAATAACACAGTGACAGACAAGTAAAGACCCAGCAGAGGAACAAACATGACCTTACCATTTGATTCTGAACTAGCAATAGAATTGTGGCATGAAAACTCATGAAGTGGTGTGGAGTCCAGTAAAACAATGATGCTGGAATCATGCCTTCTACTTACTACTGTTAGTGCTAAAATCTGCACAATCTGATGTGTAAATATCCAGACCTGTTGGGTCCCCTAAAATTTCTTATGATCCTATGTTATGAATCATGGAAATTCTGGGAGCTGTCCCGTCATGTTTCCATCACTGCAGTGACAGTGGGTTCAGATGATCCCCCCACAAGGTGTGGTGTTTAAACTAGAGGACATCTCTTAACTGTCATAGAACACTGGCTTCATAGAAAAGATTAAATTTCTAGTCACTGAAGCCATAAAATAAAACCAGTGTATGTGAACCTCAATAGCCAAGTTTATAGTATGTTAGCACCAGTCAAATCCCCTTCAAAAAGTCAGCTCTCCATAGAAGAGATCACTTAATTGTTGGTTAAGAGTAAGTGGTAGTTTGAATACAAATGCCCCCAGAGGCTATGATATTTGAATTTTTAGTCATAAGGGAGTGGCACTACTTGGGAAGGATTGGGAGGTGTGGTCTTGTTGGAAGAACTATGTCTTTGGGGGTTGGCTTTGAGGTTTCAAAGTCCATGCTAGGCCAAGTGTCTCTCTTCTCTTGCTGCCTGTGGATCTGGATATAGAATTCTCAGCTCCTTCTCTAGAACCATGTCACCTGTGTGCTACCATGCTCCATGTGATAATGATAATGAACTGAACTTTTGAAACTGTAATCAAGTCACAATTAAATGTTTTCTTTTATAAGAGTTGCCTTGGTCATGTTGTCTGACCAAGACAGAGCTCTGGTGGAAGACTTGAGTTCTGTTCCCATCAGCCATATAGAGTAAGTACCTCATAACACCTGTTATTCAAGCTCCAGGGCCTTTGATGCCTTCTGACCTCCTCAAGCATTCCCACACACATATTCACATATAGACATAAACATGTTCACATAACTAGAAAAGGAAATCTTTAAAAATATGAGATGAGACCCTGACACAAGTTGAGTGCCCTTGGACAAATATCTAAATTTCATAAGGCAATCATAATTCTGAAGTATTAAATAACCAAATTATGCTAAAATTGTTCTTATCATACAATAGATGCTTTAAACTAAATCATGTGGGGTTTTTTTCTTTTACACTTTCTGTTTCGTTTCTCTCGTTTTTTTTCCCTGCAGTTAACATTTCCCCACGTGTTATCATGCTTTTCTCTTGGCCTGAAAGAAGGTATTTGATTTAGTTTGAGCCAATGCCTTTTCCCTACTTACCCCAACATATAGAATAGACTTACTATATTAAATATATTTATGTTTTTATTTATTTACAGACTAGTGCTTTACTCAAAAGGAAGGTCATTTGGAATAACCCCCCTTTGCTATACTGAGGCAGTTGGGAAAGTTAACCATAAGTCTATTTAATCAATAAAACCCTCTGAAATCTTTAAAAGTTAACAAATGATAATAATATGATGTAATTTCTGACTCAGTTTTCCTTATCTCTTACTTCTCATTACCTTGTCTTTTAAATAACACAAAATTTGGCTCATGGTTGGCATCTAACAAGTGGCTCTTTGTTGAATTAGAAGAAAAGGAAACAAATATTTTACTTGTGGCTCAAGGCAACACCTCCCCAATGGGAGCTGAACAAACATTACTTAGATAATTTTGGCTGGAAGGCATTCTACCACCTACTCTCTTATTTAAATGCAAAGCTACTTGAAGTAATTCCTGGAGATAAGAAGATGGTTAGATTATTTAAAATATCATGGAGGATAAACAACTTTATGGAATCTTTTCTATATAGTTAAGGCTTTATTGTTAAAGTGGCACTGGGAGTGAAATTTGTAAATGAGAAAGTCAAGACCCTAAGGCTGAAATGGCTTTGTCCTGTGAATACTAAATTGTAAGAAAATTTCATTTCCTGTTATGCCATTACAGCTAGTATTTACAAAGACTTACCTCAGGATATGTGTGAATATCAGCCCTTTCAAGGCAATTTATACATCTCCCAAAATTAAAAAGATAATTTGGAAATGAGTGAAATGAAAGGGAGAGATACAGGCAATGATAGCCCAATAATTTGGCAACAGTAAGGTATAAATTTAGATTTAAACTTCCTTACAGTCAACAGAGGGAAAGAATGAAGTGTAGTTAGTTACTCAGTTCAATGTATGATCACATGTACAGGGCAACACAGAATTTCCCTTCTCTACCCGGCTTTGCATTTCCAAACAAGGGTCTCCACCAGACACAGAGGCAATCGAGGCTGTGTGTCTAGGTTTTGGAGACTTGTTATCTTAAGAGCTGCCTAAGTTGGCCCCACATGGCACACCCACCCTCTCCACAGAACCAGAATCCAGCCAGGTGGCTCCTCTCAGGGCATTCTATTCTCAGGAAGTTCAAGGCCTTGGAGGAGGCCTGGGATGAACTTGAAGTTATGTAGCTGTTTCCCCAACCCATACAACCGGTGTACTGTTGTGGAATATTCCTTTACACTGTATGAAGATGTATGTCACTGTGACTGGTTTAACAAAAAGCCAAGAAGCCAATTGCTAGGCAAGATTTTCAGGGCAGAGAGAATGCTGGGAAGAAGGGTGGAGAAGCCAGCCAGATGGAGAATGAGTGAGATACACAAAATGGGGTAAAGGTAAAGTCCCATGGTAGAACGTAGATTAATAAAAATGTGAGTTAACTTAAATTAGAGAGCTAGTAAGAAACAAGCCTAAGTCCAACGACAGTGTTCCTTAGCTCATCTTCACATTTTTTAAAATTTGTATTTGATCTATCAGTGTATGTGTAAATAAGTATACATGAGTGTGTGCATGAGTGCATGTGAGTGCGTGCATGTGTGTGTGTGTGTGCCACTGCACACATGTGAAGGTCAGAGGATGACTGCCAGGAGCTGGTTCTCGCCACTGTGGGATCCAGAGGCTGAACTCAGCTTTGTACATTTTACATTTTCATCATTGCTATTGCTTCTTGTACACGGTGAATGCTAAGTGAATGTTTGTGAGCTGCAGTAGACAATGAGCATGTGCAGAACAGTTAGCCATGTAAGACTCCTCTCAGTTTAGGCCCGGCGGTATCAGAGATGGTTTCTATATTGGGCAATATGAATTTTTCATCTAACTCTGTCAGTGTGTTCAGGGTTTAAGCTTCTGTATTTTAAATGAAGATAAAATCTATATGAAGTCTTCTCCCTGGGTACTGATGTGCAACGACTCAGGTTATGAAGTGTCAGGATGAAATAGAGCCCACCAGCTTTCATAAAAGGGGGAGAGAAATGCAATCCTAACACCTCTGCTATCTTTATGAACAGGTATATGAATCCATTTCTTTTTAAAACGCACACACCTCAGCTCATGCAAGGTCATGGCCTCACATCTCCAAGTGGTAGTTCACATCACTTGGGAAAGCCAGCCCAGAGAAAATGTAGAAGGGCTATGTCATAAAATTTTTATTTTTACTATTGGTTGTGCCCGACATTGCCTGTTGTTGAATGATATTGCAGATGAGTGTCAGAGGACTTCTGGGTGTCAACATTAGTCTTTTCAGTGTGGTTTTTAGGGTCATCAGGCTTGGGTGACAAGCTCCTTTATGCACTTAGCCATCTCACTGGGCCATAAAAGTCCTTTGATTTTCTTTTGGAAAGTGTTACTTATTTTACATGTATTCTGCATTTTATGTGCACCTTTCTTCCTTCCTCCCTTCCTTCCTCCCTTCCTTCCTCCCTTCCTTCCTTCCTTCCTTCCTCCCTTCCTTCCTCCCTTCCTTCCTCCCTTCCTTCCTCCCTTCCTTCCTCCCTTCCTTCCTCCCTTCCTTCCTCCCTTCCTTCCTCCCTTCCTTCCTCCCTTCCTTCCTCCCTTCCTTCCTTCCTTCCTTCCTTCCTTCCTTCCTTCCTCCCTCCCTCCCTCCCTCCCTTCCTCCCTCTCTCCCTTCCTTCCTTCCTTCTTTTCTTCCTTCCTTCCTTTCTTTCTCTCTCTTTCTTCCTTATTTATTTATTTATTTATTTATTTATGCATTCATGCATTCATTTATTTTGAGACAGGATCTTACTATATAGCCTTGGCTGGTCTGGAACTCACTATGTTGCCCAGGCTGGAGTTGAACTCATATGATGTGCCTGCCTATGTCTTTAGAGCACTGTTTTGTATTCTTTATTTGAACATATTTATTAAACAAGGAGGCATATCTTTATCTCTGAAAAAGCATCCCAGTCACTCTTTCTTCAGTCTTCTCACTTAATCAAGTGCATAAAAGGCAATTAAATGCTGCCATTTTGTTCCATGTGGAGTTGCTTTACTTTTTTCTCTGCAATCGCTTTGCTCCATGTCAGTTAACGAGGTAGGAACTGTTTGAGTGTGCTGCCATGAGTGCAATCAATAGAATGGCTGTTAGAGATATTCAGGCCCCACCTAGAGTTGGTCTCTTTGTCTATGCTATAGCTAAGCCTGGTTCCAAACTGTGTGAAAGAAAGGGATTTTCACAATGGAATGTATCTGAGTGATGACTGTTCTTCCTCCTCAGCCCCTCTGCTTACCTCTGAGAAGTCAGCATGTCACTGAAAAGCGAGCACAGGGTGAACACCTCAGCACTGCAGAAAATCGCTGCAGACATGAGCAATCTAATAGATAACCTCGACACCCGGGAACTCCACTTTGAGGGAGAGGAGGTAGAGTTTGACACATCTCCTGGAGACCCCAAGGCTCAGGAAAGTAAGTACAGATGATGCAGGGACTGGTCAAGACTTCCTCAGGGTTGGTTGTGGGGCACAGAGGTAAATAACAGAGCAACCACCTTTCTTGGAGAGAGGGCTTCCAGAAACTTTTTAACTATGTTTTTGTTTTTTTGATATTCTGTTTGATCATGGCTCTGTCTCTTCAAGACATTGATCTCTCTGAGTGACCAGATCCCACAGTCGGCATGACCAGATCCCATGTCTCCCAGCAGCTCTGAGGCAGAGTCGGGCTATGCTCTCCTGTGGCTTTGCGGCCCCTAATTTATGGTTCTGCCCAGTACCTAGCTTATTTCCTTGTTTTGCAGGCTATCCCAGACTGAATCACAAGGTGTATAACTTCCCCAGGAAAGTTACAAGAGTAATTTCCATTCCTTTGTCTCTGGGATTTCTCTGCATGTCCTTCTCTGGGCTTCCCTGTCACTCTGTGCCCGTCAGCTGCCTCCTACTCTTGATTTAAGCTACACCTCTCCTGTCCAGACCTTAAGAGGAAGCCTCTCTTCCCCTTTAAGGACCCATCATGCTGTCTCTGATGGAACATAGCGTCCCTTCGTGCTCTCCCATCTCAAGGCCCAGTCATGGCTCCCTTACTCCTGGGGCCCTGTGATACTCTCCTACCTCAAGGCCCAGTTGGTTCTGAGGCTCTGCCTCCTAAGAAAGCTGAACACTGGGAGGAAGGGTGGGCGGGGGGAGGGATTGCAAGAGCCCGAGGACCGAGATGGCTGCTTCGAGTGATTGAGTGGGTCATCAGGCTTAGTGGCAGCACCTTCACCCACTGAGCCATTTCATCAGCCTCATCTTAGATTTTGAAGAGGTGCAGCTGCTTCTGTCTGTGACTGGAATAACCTGTTCCCTCTGTCCTTTGCAGAGTACATCCCATTCTCTTCCATTTACAACACTCAAGGATTTAAGGAGCCCAATATCCAGACCTACCTCTCCGGCTGTCCTATTAAAGCCCAAGTACTGGAAGTGGAGCGCTTCACGTCTACAACCAGGGTCAGGGCACTTTGGGTTCATCCGGGTTTGGTTTTTGTCAACTATGTGTCAATAAACAGCCCTGACTTCCTGACTCCGGATTCCGTTCTCCCAGCTGTGATGCTATTGGTTGAGCTTTAGCTCAACCTCATGTAGTTGTTTCTTTTTTTTATACTCTTTGCTCTTTGGAGGGCCCACCACCCAGCTCCCAAATAATCACTCAGAGACTTATTCTTACTTATGAATGCCTGGCCTTAGGTTGACTTGTTTCTTGCCAGCTTTTCTTAAATTATCCTGTCTACCTTTTGCCTCTGGGCTTTTATCTTTCTCTATTCTATATATCCTCCTTTGCTTATTACTCTGTGGCTTGCTATGTAGCTGGGCAGCTGGCCCCTAATGTCCTCCTCTCCTTCTTTTCTCGTTCCTTGTTCTTCTCTTTTTCTCACTCTATTTATTCTGTGTCTGCCAGCCCTACCTATCCCTCTCTCTCCTGCCTAGCAATTGGCTGTTCACCTCTTTATTAGACCAATTGGGTTTTAGACAGGCAAAATAACACAGCTTCACAGAGTTAAACAAATGCAACATTAAACAAATGTTCCACAGCATAAATAAATGTAACACATCTTTAACTAATATTCCACAACAACATCTAAGTGCTCTTTACATCTCAGGATTTCACTTCCTTCTCATGTATTCTTTATTCTTATCTACCTCTTTTCCCCATTTTATGAACAGTGATCCTTGTTGTTGGAGATGGGGTCTCATGGAGCCAAGCCTGGCTGTCATCCCTTGCTCTTCCTTCCTCCACCTCCCCAGGGTTGAGATTATAGGTATGAACAGCTATGCTGCTACAGTGTTTCTTTATTTTTATCTTGGATAGCACTCAAGAGCAGGTGAGGTGGTTTAATAGGTAAAGGCTCTTGCTGCCAAGCCCGAGAGCCTAAGTTTGATCTCTGAAACCAGGTGAGGGAGTGGAGAACTGCCTCCTGGAAGCTGTCCTTTGGCCTCCCCTTGAGGTCTATGACATATGGGCATGCACACAGGCACACAGACACTTAGAAAAATAAGTAAATGCATGAAAAGAAACGAATACGAACATATCATTCCAGTAACTTGGCTTACATTTGTTAGATCTTAAACCTAAAACGAAGGCTAACTGAGGTGCCTATTTAGTACATCAAAGTGGACCTGGCCACCAGGTTCTCCCAACACCCCTCAGTCCCTACCTGTTACAGGGTAAGTGTTCCAGCACAGGGCTGGATTTCCCTTCCCCAGCTGCCCTTCTGTATATAATCCTGCCATTTTCGTTACCCAGCAATTTCTGTCTATGTTCTCCCTTCCATCCACAATAAGCCTTCTCCTCCACTAAGGAGCAGTCTTGTCCTTCCTTCTGGTTTCTTTATTTTATTCAATATCCATTCTAACTGAAGGCCAAGTATAAGTCAAGAGAAATTTTTAGCCGGGTGGTGGTGGCGCACGCCTTTAATCCCAGCACTTGGGAGGCAGAGGCAGGCGGATCTCTGTGAGTTCGAG